TATGTAACCATATATAATTGTAAAGATTATACTCATACGAAATTTTATTTATTTATTTATTTTGTTATGAATTAATCATAAAAAAGCAAAAATGAATTTATTTATTTATGAATAAATATACTAATGTATATACTAATTAAAATTGTGTCAATATCCTTACAAACAATCTCGCATGATTATTTATTTTATTTATTTAAATTAATATTTAGTTATTTGTTTATTTGTTGGAATTTAATTACTATCAATACAAGATCTTAATATCATGATGAGGATTAAGTAATTTGACATACGATTATTGTAATATATTTTAAAATTAATAATTTAATTTTCATATTAATTGCATTTGTCATTAAGGTGATCCTTTAATTTTAATCATTCCATTAGTTTCTCTCATCGTTAAATATTAAAACTATAGAAAATTGAAATCAGAATTATATTAATTTTATTGCCTGAAATTGTTCTTGTTTATGAGGACTTAATGATAATAGCAAAATTTGATGAATTGGATCATAATTAATTAAGGTTACTTATATTAATTTTGGATTATATTTATTAAAAATAAATAAATAAATAAAATCAAATTTCATGTATATAATTGCTATATTTATTTCAATTTGATTGTTATTTGCTATACGCTTTGGCTTATTACATTAATAAGGTTTATGTAGTAAATAATTAAATTAGATAATTTAGCATATGTAAAGAGAAATAATTTATGATTACATGTTTGGGTGTAGTCATAGCATCCTAACCCCATAGAAAAGTAATAATATAGAAAAATACCTTCCCTTGCATACATTATTATCACAAAGAATCTCACACAAATATTAAAAAAAGAAAATTTAGAGAGAATAGAGAAGTCTTATAATCTTTTACTTTTTTGGAATGTCTCAATCAATGAAATATTATAGACTTTATATAGGTAAGAACAGAGAACCTTTTATAAACTAAAAAATGTAACTATTCATTTCATTTTTCTACATTAAAAATCAATAATACAGAAATTTGAAACTTATAACAACTATATCAATTTTAATTATGAACCACTTAATGTTTATATTCTAACAATTCTTGTTACTCATTCCTTTGCTATTCAGTTGTTATTGTATTGACTTTTCATCATCAAAATTAGTTTATGTAGATAAACTTATTTTAATTTTAATTTTATTTATAATTTTTCATTCCTATCTTTATCTTTTATAAGTATTTATGAAAAAACTTTATCCTGTCAGCTATAATGCATTAAACAATCAATTCATCAATTAGTCTCAACAATAGGACATTGGAAAAAATGAAAATCACACGGACTATTAGCATGTTTAATGTTTAGAGTCTTAGTGAGGAAAAATTGATTTCGATTTCGGTAAATATAACACTACATATTATTGCTGAGAAAATCACATCCTCCTAATTTTAGAGAAACTACCAAGATTTTGAGGAAAATCACATATATTTTAGGTCACACACTTAAATACAAACTTGACGTACATGCTCCCATCACACATGCATAGAGAAAAAAAATAACTTGAGATTAAGAAATGAAATGATATTGGCTTGATGTGCAAGCCAAGTGAAAAAATGCTTCAAAGATACAGCACTTGGCTTCAAAGATATAAATATTTCCCACCACACTAATCGCAATCGTCCCATATAGGCACTACCCTATGATTCATGTTAGATATCTGTATTAAAAATACACATCTTATGTGACCCTACATCATTATTGTTCTACAGATGCCCCCACCCACTACACCTTATACCATTTACTACGAGATGGGGATAGCAATGGCTTGGCAGAAGCATAATGAAACACAAAAGATGATTAATTTTTGTATTCTTGTTAAAATATTTTCAGTACAACAGTTCTATGACCCACCAATATAATCTACATATACCTCGTACAGTGGATGTCACTAGATTAGATGCAATGGCGTGGTTATTACTCTCTTTTTAACCATCATGGCTTTGTTGATATTGGGTGATATATTTATGACGTCTATGCAACATAATTATGGAGCCTATAAACAATAGAGTTTCTGTTTAATCCTAGCAATACCATTATTATTATTATTATTATTATTATTATTATTATTATTATTATTATAGGAATATCTTAATTTTATTGATATTTTTGACATTATATATAGGGTTTTATTTGAAATTAGCCTTTTCCAGATAAATTCCTCAAATATTTTGAAGGATTTGCGTTGAAACTAAAATGTTTTAGCATTTTCCTTTATGTTTTTTTGGAAGACCAAAGTAAATTCCTCAAATATTTTTGACATTATATATTATATATAGGGATTTCTGTCTTATTGCTTACTTACCTCAAATTTGCATTATAGTTTAATGCATTATATTTAAAAGTAAAACAATATACATTCTTCTAAATTTTTTTTTTGACACAAAAGTTCATGAACTTCTCATTCAAAACCCTCAATCCAATTCTTAAACTGGTTGTTTAATATTATTTATTAGACGAGTTTAATTTATATACAAAATTTAGAATATATCAATTAAAATTATCATATATATATATATATAATATTTTAGAGTGATTACTATAAAGTTAATAACTTATCATATATTTTAAATTATGATTCAATACAATTGATGGAACTAAGTCCAATTAAGGATTCATTTACACTCTTAACTTTAAGGATAACACATGTATGTATTTTGAGTTATGAATTTTTTGTCATTTCTAAATTTATATTTTGAACTCATTGCTCCTAAATTCTCATTTGTTGTTAATTTTTTTTCTTCTTGTATTGATTAATTTATATCTTACATTTTGGTCTCTTTTCAACTCACTTTTCATTTCTAATAAGTATTTTTCTTTCCTTTTTCATATAAGTATAAGATCTTACACAAAATCTTATACCTGTAATAATTTTTTATATAGTGCAAATTTAATCAATTCAACTATTGAATTATATGATATTATACTCAAAATCATGCATATCAAATTTCAGATGATTCAAAATTATTTAGTAGTTCATCACATTATTTTATTTTAATATTTAATATAATATTTAAAATATGTATAAATATTTATTTTTGAATAATATATCTAGAAAAGTTCAAATCATGTGAATTTTACAATATACATAATCTTAAGTATAATATCAAATAATGCAATGATTGAATATGCTAAATTTATATTTCACAAAAAAATTATTAAAGATATAATATTTAATGTAAATTTTTAGACACTACATTGATTTACAAAAATAAGAAAATGAAATTTTACAAAAAATGAAAAAAAGAATTACTATGGTAAATATATGGATGACAAGTAAATATGTATCATGAGAAATATCTCGATCTATCCTATTTTTGATAAGAATACTCAATTTGATTAGATATGGATATATGAATAATATTTAATTTTTTTTAAACCGAATACGAAACGAATATACACATATCCACCTTCACCTTGTATCCATATTTATATTTATATTATTTTAAATTTATTTAATATTTATATAATTTTTATTCTATTTTAAATTTATTTTAAATAAAAATAAATAATATAATTTTAAAATTATTACTCCATATTATATTTTTATAATATTTTTAAAAAATGTTTAATTAATTTATTTTTGAATAAATATATAATTTAATAGCAATGATACACTATTCGAAAACGTAAAATATTAATATTTTTTAATAAATTTATTATAAAATAATTTAAATTATTATATTAATCGTTTGAAATGAATTTTAGAAGATGCATTCGGAGGGTCTATCATTTCTCATAATTCAAAAATACAAATAAAAATGAGTGAATCACTTATACACAATTAGTGTAAAATTTTTTACACTAACAGTCAATTAGAATTAATAATATTTTTTTTATTTTAATTTAATTAAATAAATAAACAAAAAATATTATTAATGAACTGTAAATGTAAAATTTTTTTATATTAATAATATATAAATAATTAACTCAATAAAAATAATGAAATCATACCCCATCACTGTACGGTGCCGTTGCTAAGTAAGTCTCGACAAAATGTCAATATGAGCTATATACGGCTGAGTAAATAGTAAAAATATTTGAAATGATTACATTCACTATTTATGTTTATATATATAAAAAACAAATACCCGGACGCTAGTTGACGTATGTATTTGAAGAGTCTACGGAGACATACAGAGACGCACGTCGTGAAGAAGTGAAAGCGAAGAAAGAGGCGTCAGAACAAACTGAAAAAAGAAAAACGGCGGATCTGTCTTTTGGTATTTTAAATTAAATTAAATTAAATAAAAATGAATTATTACAATTAGAAAGGAAGGTAACACTCGCAATAATATCCTCGCTGAAAGTGAAGCCTGCTCCAGCACTTGCATTGCCACCACTTTCATATTTCATATTCGATTCGCAAGAACCTCTTCTCTCAGATCTGACACTCTTCGATTCGTTCAACGCTTCTCTCTCTCTCTCTCTCTGCTGCGTCTGTGAGTTTCTCTAGAATCTCTCTCTGAATTGAATGGTTCTCGTTCTTCTGTTTCACTCACAATGTCTGATTCGTTGTGTTTTTTATGTTGCATTTCCCGTTTTTGCTTATTCCGATGCTGAGCTCGTTATCGATAGAATTGGAATTAGGTTTTAGCTCTTGTTAGTAACTTGCTTACGCCGCGAAATTCGTGCTTACATCTAGCTAATTCAATTGACTAACGCGTCTTGTGTGCTCGTATGTTGATCGCAAGTTCATCGTCTCGTTGTTTGTTTAATGTATGTTTGGGAACAGAACACGTGTGTTGTGTGTTTTTGAAGATTTTAGGTTTAGTTTATGTCAGAAAAGAGTTGAGGCTATTTCTTAGAGGCTCTTTTTATGGTAATCAAATTGGACTTGGAGTGGCCTGTAGTTGAATGTGAAATGTAATTCAGTTATGATTTTGAAGTTAGAGAAGCTTCGGAAATTAGTTGGTGGTTAAATTTATACATGAGCTTGATTTGTGGAAAACTTTGTATGCAGAGCGCTTATTAGTTCATGGCAAAGTCAAGGCAAAAGTTATCAAACCAGGATTCTTCGATGTCTCCTACTGCTGCAAGATCAAGGGAGTGGGATGGTCCAGCTAGATGGACGGACTACCTTGGACCAGAATCGACTTCGCCGTTGTCGTCTGGTAGCACCAGGAATATCTACCATGATGGGCAGTCTCAGGGCACAACGCCATCCCAGTCACACAAGGGTATTAACATGCAGTGGGTCGTGCAACTCACTGAAGTTGCCGAAGGTCTTATGGCCAAGATGTATAGGTTAAATCAACTTTTGGATTATCCAGATCCCATCAACCATGTATTTTCAGACGGGTTTTGGAAAGCTGGTGTGTTCCCCAACCATCCTAGAATCTGTGTGTTGCTCTCTAAGAAATTTCCAGAACACTTCAGCAAATTGCAACTTGAACGTGTAAGAACTGATGTCTTATATGCTTTACATTTTGAATGTTGATTATGGCCTCCGCAAATTTCATCATTTGGGAAGAAAATGGATGCAGATAGATAAGATTGCTTGGGATTCATTGCAAGATCATGCGGAGCTTCATTTGCAGACTCTGGAACCGTGGGTGCAGGTGTTATTATGATACTTTTATTTACCGGTTTTTTCATGTGTTTCCCATTCATAACCCTTAAGCAGTTAACTGAAGCTTTTCACATTCTAGTTGCATGCCCTCATTAGACACAAAAACTTTCTCATCCCTTCATCCAACAACTTGAGCTTTTAGATTAACTGGTTCATGACATCTCATCTCTTGACTAGCTGGATTAGTTTGAGTTATTACAACTTGCCAAATTCTACTTGTCAATATCTTTCTTCACTCAACTTATCTGCATGAGTAAATAGGAATATGAAATTTTGTAATTTGCAATTCATTTATAGATTTTTTTTCCTTTTTCTTTGGAGGAATGGTTGGAAAGAGTGAAAGAGATACTGAAGCTTGTACTAAAGTCTAAGCATGTAGTTTAGATATAAAACCCATACAAAATAAGGTACTGTAACACACACACACAATCAAATAGTATTGAGACCCACGGGAATAGTTATGACTTGTGTTAGATATAGTTTTATCTTATGGGCCTAGGCCCACTACTTGTATATAAACACATCTTTTGCTTTGCAATACACAAGGAATATGTTCTCTCCATTCACCATTATTCTCAACATGGTATCTAGAGCCTATCCTTGACTTTCCGGTGGACCCACTGTTCATCGGTTCCCGGAAAACGTATCTCATTCCGTTTTCTGGCTACCCACCTCACCGTGTCTCTTTCCGGCTGTTTTTTCCCTCTTTTCTCAGCGTTTTTCTTTGCCGCCGTCGCCGCCGCCCGCCGTCGCCGCCGCCAGCTTTCTGGCCGGCGATCCCCCCACTCGGCTCGCCTTCCTCTGGCGAACCCAATGCCACTGGTCCCGCGGCAAACGAAGGTTGCACGCGCCCACACGCGCCAACTCTGTGCTGCGCGCGGTTTCTCTCACCTCTCCGTCGGCCGCCGCGCGTGGTGGCGCGTCCGACGACTTTTCCGGCGGCGACCACCGGCATCGAACTCGCCCCGACCTCCTCTACCCCGATCTACTATTTGTTTTGTGATCGGACCTCGTTTGTCACTGATCTCTTCCTTCTCGGGCCATTTTCTCTCTCCTATTGCTGTTTCACTCTCCTGTTCCAGCATCTATGGCTTCCCCTTCCGCTGTTCGGCCAGACTCCTCTATTTTCACTAACTATGTCAATGTCCCTCTTTTCATTGACAAGTTAGATGGAACCAATTTTGATATTTGGGCTTCGGATATCAAACTTTGGCTTAAGGGACAAGATTATGTTGCTCACCTTACCCAGACAACTGCTTCCGTTGATGAGAAGGATCGTCCTCGTTGGTCGAAACTTGTCGCTCAAATTTGTAGTGTCCTTAAGTCGACCATTCATCCCTCCCTAAAGCAAATTTTTCGTGCCCATGAGACATGTGTTGATGTATGGAAGCAAGCCCGATTATTGTACACCAATGATACTCAACGTCTCTATGGTGTGTGTCAAAATCTCCAGAATATCATTTCTCCACGACGCCTTGAGGGCTCCATGGCTGAGTATTTGGGCAAAGTTCATGGCCTTCTACATGACTTCAATGAACTTTTGCCTCCCGCTGCCACTCCTGCCAAGGAACTAGAGCAATGCCAAACTTTCTTTATGTTGATGGCATTGTATGGGCTTCCTGATGAGTACTCTTCCATTCGTGATCAGATTTTGGGATCTTCGACTGTGCCTACCTTGAACTCAGCTTGGTCCACTCTGTTGCGTGTTCCTTGCAAATTTTCCCCTGACATACCTTCTTCAGCTCCCACTGGCGATTCCTTTGCCTTGGTTTCTCAATGTGATGATCGTCAACGTTCTCGCAAACCGGACAAAGGTCGTCCCAAGTGTGATCACTGTCACAAATTGGGCCACACAATTGACCGTTGTTACGTCTTACATAGTCGTCCCCCTCGCCCTGCTATTGCTGTTGCCCACACTGCCTCTCCTGTCTCTACTGCATCTGGTACTACCCCTCTGATAGTTCTGGCTCTGGACCTCCAGCTCTCTTCAATGACTTTCTTAAATGGTATGAGGAACGTCAAGCTTCCAATTCCACTGCTTTTGTTGCGCACACAGACCCTTCGTTTCTTGGTCTCACTCACTCCACCTCTCTTGGCCCTTGGGTCCTAGTTTCTGGTGCTACCGATCATATTTCTGGTAATCAGTCTCTTTTCTCCTCTCTTTCTACCTCTGCTTCTTTACCCTCTATCACTATGGCTAATGGCTCTCGCGCCACAACTCATGGGGTTGGTACTGTCCATCTTTCTCCTTCTCTCTCCATTGCCAATGTTCTTTATGTCCCAGAGTCTCCCTTTAATTTATTATCCCTTAGTCGTCTTACTCGCTCTCTTGATTGTCTTATCTCCTTTACTAAAGATTCTGTTTTCTTACAAGACCGGAGTTCAGGACGGATGATTGGCACTGGATGTGAGTCTCATGGCCTTTATCACCTACGCACCTCTGTTCCTGTTGGTTTGGTGGTGGATTCCCCTTCCCTCATCCATGCTTAATTAGGTCATCCTAGCCTTGCCAAACTTCAACACCTTGTACCACGTTTGTCTAAGTTGTCTCATTTGTCGTGTGAGTCGTGTTAGTTAGGCAAACATAGTCGTAGTTCCTTTTCTTCGAGTGTCCCCAACCGAGCATTGTCTCCTTTTGCTTTAGTTCACTCTGATATTTGGGGGCCGAGTCGGGTTAAGTCCACTTTAGGATTTCAGTATTTTGTAACTTTTATTGATGATTACTCTCGATGTACTTGGCTATTTTTAATGAAATCTCGTTCCGAATTATTTTCCATATTTCAATCTTTTTATAATGAAATTCAGACTCAATTTGGTGTTTCTATTCGTACTTTTCGTAGTGATAATGCTCGGGAATACCTCTCTCACTCCTTTAACGCCTTTATGGCTTCCCATGGCATTCTTCATCAAACTTCTTGTGCATATACCCCTCAACAAAATGGGGTGGCTGAGCGCAAAAATAGACACCTAATTGAGACCACTCGCACCCTCTTACTTCATGGTCACGTTCCTCAATGTTTTTAGGGTGATGCTGTTCTCACCGCATGCTATCTCATTAATCGAATGCCATCTTCTATCCTCAACCATCAAATACCTCACTCTATTTTAGGGTATCCTAGGTCTCAAAAAGGGTATAAATGTTTCTCACCCTCCCTTTGTTGCTACTTGATTTCAGCTGATGTCACCTTTCTTGAGTCTTCTCTCTACTTTTCATCTACTTCCTCTTCTCCTACACCTGTCCTTACCCCTTCCACCATCCCTCTTGTCTTTGATACTCCTCTTGTGTCTGCTGCGTCACCCAACCCACCACCTCCGCCTCCACTTCAAGTTTATCATCGTCGACAACGCTCCAGCCTTCCCATTGGACCCCCACCCGACTCTACTTCGGTGCCACCACTTTCGTCCCCTCCGGCCCAACCACTTGAGTCTGACCTCCCTATTGCCCTCCGGAAAGGTAATCATTCTACTCGTAATCCTTCCCCTCATTATATTACTCTGAGTTATCACCGGTTATCCCCATCCCAATATACTTGTCTCTCCTCTCTTTCCTCTGTGTCTATTCCTCAAAATGTAGGTGATGCCTTGGTTCACCCTGGTTGGAGACAAGCCATGACTGATGAATTGTGTGCTCTTCAGAACAATGGTACTTGGGATCTTGTTTCTTTGCCTCCTGGGAAGTCTGTGGTTGGATGTCGATGGATCTTTACAGTCAAGGTTGGTCCTGATGGCACCATTGATCGACTCAAAGCTCGTTTGGTCGCCAAAGGTTATAGTCAAATTTTTGGATTAGACTATGGCTACACTTTCTCCCCCGTTGCCAAGATGACCTCTGTCAGATTATTCTTAGCCATGGCTGCTCTTTGCCGTTGGCCTCTCTATCAACTGGATGTTAAAAATGCCTTTCTTCATGGGGATTTGCTTGAGGAAATTTATATGGAGCAACCTCCTGGGTTTGTTGCTCAGGGGGAGTCTTCCGGTTTGGTATGTCGTCTCCGCAAATCACTTTATGGTCTTAAGCAGTCTCCAAGGGCATGGTTTGGTAGATTCAGTACTGTAGTCCAACAGTTTGGTATGACTCGAAGCGAAGCTGATCATTCGGTCTTTTATCGACATTCCACTGCTGGGTGCATCTACTTGATAGTGTATGTTGATGATATTGTTCTCACTGGTAGTGATCATCATGGCATTTCTCAGATAAAACAACATCTTTGCCATCACTTTCAGACAAAAGACCTTGGTAAACTTAGGTATTTCTTGGGGATTGAGGTAGCGCAATCTACAAATGGAATTGTAATATCTCAAAGAAAGTATGCATTGGATATTTTAGAGGAAACTGGGCTAATGAATTCCAAGCCCGTTGATACACCTATGGATCCTAATGCTAAACTTCTACCAAGTCAGGGGGAGCCTTTCTCAGATCCTGAGAGATATAGAAGACTGGTTGGGAAATTGAATTATCTCACAGTAACTCGTCCTGACATCTCTTTTGCGGTTAGTGTGGTGAGTCAATTTCTCAATTCTCCATGTGCAGGACATTGGAATGCAGTCATTCACATTCTGAAGTATATCAAAGGTGCTCAAGGAAAAGGTTTATTATATGGCTACAACAATCATACCCAAGTTGTGGGATACTCAGATGTAGATTGGGCAGGCTCTTCCTCTGACAGGAGATCCACCTCAGGTTATTGTGTCTTTATTGGCGATAACTTGATTTCGTGGAAAAGTAAGAAGCAGAATGTAGTGGCAAGATCTAGTGCAGAAGCAGAATACCGTGCCATGGCCTCTGCTACGTGTGAGCTTATTTGGCTCAAACAGTTGCTTAAAGAACTGAGATTTGGCGAAGTTACACAGATGACTCTCATATGTGATAACCAAGCTGCCCTTCATATTGCCTCAAATCCAGTATTTCACGAGAGGACCAAACACATTGAAATAGATTGTCACTTCATTCGTGAGAAGATTTTATCTGGGGACATTACTACTCAGTTTGTTAACTCTACTGATCAGTTGGCAGATGTCTTCACCAAATCATTACGGGGTCCTAGGATTGATTATATTTGTAACAAGCTTGGTGCATATGATCTATATACACCAGCTTGAGGGAGAGTGTTAGATATAGTTTTATCTTATGGGCCTAGGCCCACTACTTGTATATAAACACATCTTTTGCTTTGCAATACACAAGGAATATGTTCTCTCCATTCACCATTATTCTCAACAACTTGCAACTTATCCAAATCTTTTTTACCCTAATGATAGTAGTTGCTTTATTTATAAAAAAGATAAAAGGGCAAAAAACTACTGCCAAGTGCTAACATCTATCCCCATTCTTTATTTGAAGATTATGCAGTAATCCTAATGTTCTAGTTTCATGCAGCAATCCACCCCAATATGTTAGCTTAAGTACCTCAGGTTTCGCAAGCATTCTTTGTTTCCCTCGAACTATGGTTTATTCTGCTGATGGTGGCAGCTACATATTGTTATTAATTAACTAAAATCTTAAATTTGGTGCTTTTGCATGTAAAACCCGTATTTCAAAGTTCAAGCTTCAATCTTGACTAGATTTATAACAGACATCATTTATGAATGTACACTCTTTACTTCTACATGAATAATTTTTTCTGTGCCTTTGACCCATGGTGGTTTTGAGGAAGTTGCCATTGCCAATATGGAGTGTGATTTGATAACCTGGCTGCATTCCGAGTGTTCTTGTTTCTTTCTGTTTTGTAATTTATAATAAGATGACTGTTCCTTCCCCTGTTGTACTTCTCCTTTTCTTCTATCTAATTTTTATTTTTTAATCCAAAAGAAAGTATGAAAATATGTGATTACATAACACTGAACTTGGTCCTACTATTTATACTAATAATCTAGGTTAAGGTACTAGTGTAATGCAATTTATACAAGGCAGCTAAACAACAATCACAACTAACCAGTACCATATACATAATATTTAACATAGAATACTCTAATATTCTTACTGCTCAGATTTTAAGTAACACAAACAAGGATTTGTAACTTTGATGCTTTTTGTACTAAGACAATTTACTTTGTCGTTGATGAGGAGAGCATCAAAAGTTGATTGGGAAAAGGTCCATTTCACCTTTATGCTTTGCTTTGCATTTATTGTTTTATTTGATCATTCTATGGTTTACATCCTTCAGATTTTCCCTTTAGATGCACATTAATCAGTAAAATATTAGTTATATAAAAATTGAGATAGATTATAATTTATAGGTTTCATTATCTATTTAATTTATGATTTTGATCAAAAAATTATTGTTTTTGGTGTCATATGTCAATTAGAATTGGCTTGCATATGCTATAATTTTAGATTTTCAATTCATGTTACCTAAACTCATACAGTAATGATTCTTTTGTGTGTGCCAGCTACTTCTTGACCTGATGGTGTTTCGTGAACAAGCTCTGCGACTTATATTGGATCTGAGCAGTACAGTAATTACCTTGTTGGTGAGTCTGAATATTGTTGCAGTTAAAAAAAGAAACCGTATATTAATTGTGAATTTTGTACATTCTCTAATATCCCTTTTATAGAGTAAACAACTATGCTTAAATAAGGAAACAAGAATAATAAAGAAATAGGGAAACAAATATATTCTAGATTTTCTAAGTATGTATGATATTTACAACACTCTCCCTTAAGTTGGTTAATGAATATCATTCCCAAGAATCCCAACTTGTCATTAAGATCTTGGAATCTAGCATTTGGAAGTCCCTTTGTGAAGACATTTGCTACTTGAAGTAGGTGTATGAGCTGTAACCCCTTTTTTATTAGAAGGGTAACCAATAAAGACACATTTGACAACTCTTGGGTCTAACTTGCCACGATGAGGACTATGAGAATGAACAAATGCAACACACCCAAACACACGACATGGGAGACCTAATAGTAGGGGAGAAGACGAGAAAAATGACAACATGTGTTCACCTGGATTAATACCCCGTAAGACACGAGTGGGTAACCTGTTAATGATCTAAGTGGTAGTTAGGACATCTTCTCCCTAATAGACATCGAGGCAGACATTTGCTAGAGTAGAGCTCTAACAACCTCAAGTAGGTGATGCTTCTTTTTTTGTGCAACCCCATTTTGTTGGGGGGTATTAACACATGTTAATTCATGGATAATACCTTGCTCTGTAGCAAACTTAGGAATTTCAAGATTAACATATTCAGTTCCATTGTCTGATCGAATTCTTTGATAGTCTTACCAAATTGATTTTTGACAAGATGAAAAAAATTAACAAATATTTGACAAACCTCAAATTTGTGCTTCATAAGGCAAGTCCATGTCAGATGGGTAGATGAAAGTTTCAAACCATTTGGCCCCAAAAACAGATTCATTAATAGGTCCCCATACATCAGAATGGACAAGATCAAAAGGAGAAAGGCTTTTATTATTACTAGGCAAAAAGGATGCACGATGGTGCTTAGAAACTTGACAAATATCACAATTAAAGGACTTGATAGGCTTTTTTTGTGAACAAATATGGAAATAGAGATTTAAGTAAACCAAATGGAGGATGTCCAAGACGTTTGTGAAATAGCCCAAGTGTTTGAAGTTGCTTGGTGGCTGGAAGACATCTCATTTTTTTTTGATACTGTCATCTGTTTTATGTTGCAAAAAATACAACCCACCCTACTCTTTAGCAATTAAAATTGTCTTTCTTGAAACAATGTCCTGAAAGGCACAATGAGAATGAAAATAAGTTACTCAACAATTTAAATCTTGAGTAAGTCGATGTATAGAAATGAGTTTATTAGCTAATTTAGGGACATGAAGAACATTGTGTAGGGATAAAGATGATTGAAGTTGGATATTGCTTGATCTAACATAGGAACACAATCTCCATTAGCATTTGTAATAAGTTGTTTGTCAGGTGCTCTGGTGTATGTTGTGTGTAAGGAACAGGGTCATGTGGTTACTCTAGAATCAAGAACCCATATGCTTTTGGAAACAAAACCAAATATATTAAAGGAACTTTTACCTTGCATGGTCAAGACACAAGAACCGGTTGACTTACTCATGGAATCAAGGAGGGTTTGGAAACAATTTACTTCCTCCTTAATGAAGGTTAAAATATCCTGGTGAATAGTGCCGAATGAAAAGTGCAAGGGGAATAGTATCGTGTGAACAACGATATGTGAACAACCTTATCTTTTATTTATATTATTTTTTTATGTCTGACAAGCAAAGGAAAGTTGCACATCCTAGTTCAACAACTTGTAGTTTTGTAGGCAATCATAGTGATGGACAATGCATTGTTATCAAGCAGTGAAAAACACGTCGGTATTGAGTAGCGAAAATAGAACTCCCAAGATCGGGAGCTCTGATACCAAGTTGAAAAAAGAAACTATATATTAATTGTGTATTTTGTACATTCTCTAATATCCTTATTTATATAGTAAATGACTATGCTTAAATAAGGAAATAACTGTAATAAAGAAATAGGGGAACAAAATAATAAAGAAATAGTGAAACAAATATCTAAAGATATTTAGAGATTTTCTAGATCTTCTTACTATCTATGATATTTACAACAGTTACAAGGATCTTGAAAGTGGTTTATACATATAGCATTTATATGAGATGTGCCTTCCCTTTCTTCATTTGAGTCTTGAGTGTAGAAGCTTTCATCATTGATGAACATGGAACACCTATGCTAGTAAGACAAAAAAGGTGGAGAGTCACATTAAATTTTCCTAAAGACTTGTTCAAATTTTATGAATGCCTCTGAAATTGATGTGTCATGCATTAAATAAAGAATAGGAAATGGGGCATAGAGTTTATTTTTGTCCCTTTTTTGTTCTTTCATCTGAAATCATTACATCAGTGAAATGGTTTTAATATGTCCTAATATTGGAAATAAACTAATAAATAATTAGTTAATAATTTGTTCATATCTCAAATAACTTGGCAGTGTTTTGCAGCCTCATCAGAATTCTCTTATACTACATGCATTTATGGATCTCTTCTGTTCCTTTGTGCGGGTTAATCTTTTCTCTGAGAAGGCAAGTTAATTTTCCCTCTTATTTTCTTAACCTTTATTTTTTACTTAATGTAAAGCTTTTATGTTATTAAAATCATTTTTTTTGTCAACTATATATGAGTGGAGTTATTTCTAAACCAATTCTCTCAACAGATGCCAAGGAAAATGTTGCTACAGACCTATAACCTTCTACATGCAATGTCAAGAAATGAGCGGGATTGTGATTTTTATCATCGGTAGGATTTTTTGAATTATTGTCTGTTCTGGTAAATAATAACTGATAGGCATGCACATGTACATACACATATGGACATACCATGTTGTATAATCCAGTTGTAAAGAAAAAAGATTTTTTTGTCACTCAAAATCCTACTTATATATTTCAAATCCTAGTCCATTGTACAATAAAAAAAAACCACAAACTAGTCAAAATTGAGGTGTGTTAAATTGACAAAATTAATCCCTAACTGATGGAATTGATAAATGATAATGAAAAATGGATTTTACACTATCTTTGATATGAAATTCTTTTCTATTATTTTTCCCTAACACCTTTATTTTTTAACAAATAATTGTTTATCATTTTAGTTCTTATATGTTTCTTTCTCTACATTACAGCTTGGTTCAGTTCATCGACTCTTATGATCCACCATTGAAAGGCTTACAGGAAGACCTAAATTTTGTGAGCCCCCGTATTGGAGAGGTTAATCCTATCCCTTCATGTATCAATTATACGTATATAATTGTCAAGTACAGATAGTAAAAAAGATGAACATGTTTTCTAGACCTCTAATTAATTCTTTTCTTCATGATTCTGTCTTTTCATGATCAAATTCAATTTATTTTCATTATCCTCTCCATGTTTTAGGAGCTTCATTAGTTGGTCTTAAAACTCGAGGAAGTATATGAAAGGTTTGCTTTTTATGGAGATGACTGAGCTTGTGATACTTTGATGCATTTGCTTTGGGATAGAAACTGAGTGTTTGCTTTCTTTTTCATGGCTTGTATAAATAGTAGCACAACTATCTATGCAGGAATCTTCCACTGCTTAAAAATTGTCTTCTACAAACTCTTCTCTTAAATGTTAGATATATAAATAAAACCATCTCTTTTCCTCCATCTTACTGCATAAGCCTCTAGGTTAGTTGGTCATTTGACATGGTATTCAAGCCTCTTTGACCAAGTGGTCAGGAGTTTGATCGTTGCCTCCCCCATTCTTTATAATTAAATTAAATTTCAGTGCAAGATAAAGGTTTTGCATTCATTCTCTATGTTGCAAGCTTGAAGGGCTCTTGTGTGGAGAGGCTTCATATTGATAGATAAAAACCATGCTGGACCTCTACATAACGGCTCAAGCTTTTAGAAGGTTTGGTCCTTAATATTATATAATACCAAAGTTTAACTAATCATTTCAGCTGAAGTCACATTGTTGGTATGGCCTCCATCTTTTGGTTCCTGATAAGTTAAAACTGAGACCTGGAGAAGATTGCATATGGCATTTGATTGTTGTAAAATCTCAATCATTGTTGCTGAATGGTGGCACAATGGCGGATTTTTTCCAACTGCCATAGGCAATTTGTGAAGGGAGGCCAGCTATGGCAGGGCCATAGGCTGCAATGGTGTGTTTATATGATGGACTTTTGCCTTCGTCCATATTCGCCATCCACCATTGATAACACTGATCACAATACACTTTCTGAACAGTATATCTTCTGCTTCCAGATTTATTATGATTTTCGTCCATGATAAACATATCCTGTTACTTGTGATTTTTGCAAATGAATAAAATATGTTCTCTAATGCAACCAAAGATTGAACATTGTAGCTATTAGAGTATAAACTTTTACTCTGTATTATTTCTTCTTTCTCCATGTATATGTAAATATTGCTACTGTTGTAGTTAGTTTGGTTAGCTGTTTGAGTTTGTTAGAATCTGTTCTCTGTCATTGTTAGCAGAGTGACAGGTGTGCTATTTTGTTAGTTAGATTTGTTTCTGACTGACAGGTGTCAAGCTTGTAGAGTAGCTCCTATTGTACTCTTTAGCATATAAATAGCTGCATCTTCTTGTACTAAAAATTCAGATAATCAATATACTTTCATTTTCTAAAAGTAGCTCTGTTTTTATACTACAAATGATATCTTTTTTTTATGTAAAGAATGGATTTCTTAGTTAATTTCTTTTATGGGTGAAATACTTATTTGGCAACTTGTGAATATGTCGCTGTCGAGTTATTGGTAGATATTAACCTATATTAGAGATGCTATTATGATTTCATTGTTTTCCTTGATTCTTTTCTAGTTCCTTAGAGACAGCTCATTCTAATCCCTAAACCTTAGGGATTATGTAATTCATGTATATAAATATTGTACAGTATGTCACATGAATATAGCATAATACAATTATTCACTCTCTCAACTATTACCATTGGAGGTTTTGATATCTTTTTTCAGGTGCTGGAGGCTGTGGGTCCTATTATATTTCTATCAACAGACACAAGGAAACTTCGAAATGAGGGATTTTTAAGTCCATATCATCCTCGTTATCCAGACATACTCACAAATTCTGCTCATCCACTGGTAATGTTAATTTTTGTTCTTAACCATATTGATATTTACTTCTTGAATTGATAAGTTATAATTACACTGAGGTTCTCTTTTCATTAAACCTTGCAGAGAGCACAAGATCTAGCAAATGTAACTGCATATCGAGAATGGGTGTTATTAGGGTATCTTGTCTGCCCTGATGAACTGCGTCGTGTCACTAGCATTGATATTGCTTTGGTATAGTTCAAGCTTCATAACTGTAGTCATATACCTATATTGCAAGGTTTTTATTTGATTTTACCACATATGGAGTGTACCGAAATTGTTTGTTTTTTTACTACGGCAAAAGCACAACCATGTTTATATAATTATTGAGATTTGAACTGGTGACCTTTTAAACAAGAAAGCTTTAATACAATGTTTTGAGTGTGAATAAAACAATATGGAGGATTGTTTTTCTTGGTCTTGGGGCATGTTACACTGGTATTTGAGATAGAAAAGGTAGGTAGAAATCTTATATTGAATGAAGAACAAAATCTCAGTTCTGTACTCAATGAAAGTGCAGAATGAGAGTTATCAGAAAGCCAATCAGAGAAATTAGAAAGATTCTGGACTCTTCTAACTGTCTTACAATTCTAGGCCACAAAGACCCTTAATTCTCTCTCACCCTCCTGGTTCATATAGTAACCCTTTTAACCAACCGTAACAAATCCTCCTAATTAACTAACGTCTGTTTACAATTTTCTGGCTTATCATGTTGCTTTCTCCTTGTCTTCTTAATAAACTAAGGTCACTAAAATACTCCACCCCAAAACTTTCACCACAAATGATACAGTTTCTTTCTATCATTCTCTTTTGTTTCTCATTGATGATTAACACTATTCAATGTGAGACTCTCATTCACACTTACACATCAACAATCTCACCCTCAAGTGTGAGTCTCTTTAACATAGTTTGTTCCCCCTGAAGTGGAAGCCTTTTTCCATCAATGGTAGCCCTTATAGCTTAACTATTGCCACCAATATGCTAAATATATTTGCATCGCCGCTTGCATCACTATTAGGCCCCTACAACTTAGCCATTGCCTCCAATATGCGCTAGATATTTGTATCGCTACTTGCATTGCTCATTAGGCCCTTAGAGTCATTGTCATTGATATGCTCTTATACCTTAATCATCTTTAGCTCACATCAATAAGACATGTTGCCTCACTTCCACATCATCAAGAAGACTTTCAACAAAAGAGATCCCCATACATGGATCCACTGCCAATTTCATTTCCCAATACTTGTTTGAGATGGTCAACTAGTTGAACCATTGACTCAAATACCAATTGTTAACATGTAAGTTTGTGCCAAACTCAACCCTACAAAATCGGCTTGTAAGGTGAGAATTATTCCACTTATATACTCTATTTGGGCCTTATCATTAGTCCATGTGGGATCTCCAACATACTCCCTTTACGTAGAGGATTAAACATCTTGAGCGTGAATTCGTAGAACTACATATTTGCGGCTGGTTTGATAATGACTCAATAGCAGGTGGCCTAGTAGGCGCAACAAAAATTGCTAAGATGGGCTCTGATATCATCTTAAAATGTGAGATTAAGCCTAATTCAACCTTAAAAAATCAGCTTTTAAGGTAAGGATTGTTTTCACTTATATAGTCTTATATACTCTACTTTGGGCTTATCTCTAAGTGATATAGGACTTGGTTTTTGCCAACAACTCCTATTTAAGCCATTTCCCTAGTTGATATGTAACTAAACCACAACTCTTGAAGTAGCAATTATGGCTTAAGTCCCAAAGAGGCCATAACTATGATGGGCTTAGGGGTAACTGCAACTAAGGTGACTTTCCAACACATGAAAATTAGGGTGCACTCTTTTGTGGTCAAGCAACCGAAGAAGGATACTTGATAAGAATGCTATAGAATAACTGAGTTAGGCTTTATCAGATAATATAGATATAATATTATTTGGTGTTAAGTCAAGTGCTTGGGTAAGCCATACAGGGGGTTGCGATATAATTTTTATTTCAGATAAAAATGATACTCTTTCCTTACTAACAGTCATCCAAATGTTGTCATAATTAAAATAAGATTTTAAATTTTAATCATGTGGATTATATTTATGTTAAGTATACTTCCTTAATTCTGTTTGGTCTTGGTATTTCAGGTTGTACTGAAGGAGAATTTAGTTCTCACATTATTCAGAGATGAGGTAATTTTCTTCTATTGGCTTTGGAACAATGTCTTTAACTGCAGTAGTTGACAATTTTGTAATCATCAATACACAGTTCATACTTTTGCATGAGGATTACCAGTTGTATGTGCTTCCTCGAATATTAGAATCTAAGAAGATGGCAAAATCTGGACGTACAAAGCAAAAAGAGGCAGATTTGGAGTACAATGTTGCAAAACAGGTTGAGAAAATGATAAGGTCCTGTTTAAATACATTATTATGTCAGAGAGAATGAGAGAGACCGAGATAGTAAAATTGTGTGACTTGTCCATGATTATTCAAGTCGCGATTTTCAGTGATTTAGTGACTGAATTGTAAGTTGTCTTGGAATAATTCTGAAAGAATTTATGCATTCTAAACTTGGAAGACTGAAACAAAAATAATGCAAACAAAACTTAGTACTTTTGAATTCTTGTCCAGGTATTGCACATGTCTTGATTATTTGATGCACTTTCTTAAGATTTAATATAATAGAAGGGAGATAACTGGTATGCATAAGAATTTGTTGAAGTGTACCCTTTTTGGTTCTTGGAGTGCTTATTTTACTCAAGATTAGGGTTAGGGAAGTTTAAGATTTGATTTGACACTTGAATGTTTTAATGGTTTTCTTAGCCTCTTTATAGAATGATGGCATTTTGAGTTCAAGGAGGTAACAATCAAGAATAAAATATTATTTTTCTGTGGGAAAAATTTCTATATTGTTATTTGTTACATGAAATTACTCTTGCAACTCTTTTACTTTTTTATGTAGATACTTGATACCTTTCCTTGGGTTGTTTTATTTTGCCACTTCTTAAAGACGATTCATCCTCACTACTACAATTGACTCTGCTAATCAGAAAAATGATTAACTTTTTCAGTGAAGTGCATGAGCAAGCAATATTATCTTGTGATGCCATACATCGTGAAAGGAGAATTTTATTGAAACAAGAGATTGGGAGAATGGTGCTGTTTTTTACTGATCAGCCCAGTCTGTTGGCCCCTAATATTCAGGTGTCTTTTCTTTTGGCATTTTGAAGCATGAAAAAGCTGGTGTCTCTAACGTTTGTTGCATATAAATATTCTTGATTCAATTATACACAAGTGCATATTATATTATTATTACATCTCTTTTGTGGTTTCATATCATTGACAGACTATAAATCCTTAGAAAAACTGCAAGAAAGGAGCTATAGAAAAATATTTCTAGTTCCTCAACCAGTTAATAATTGTTGAAAGAGATGAAAGATAGAGATATAATAGGCTGAATTTGTGTGTCTCAACAACACAGTGAAAGTTTATTAAATAGGAAAAATACATGAGATAGGTATGAGTAAGGAATATTGTGTTTCCCTTAATTATAAGATATTTCCCTATTCTATGCTATAAATGAAAGATATATTTTGTTGATTTTCAAGCTAGAGCTTATATATCAATTTTCTAAAATAATGTTTGAGGGGATTTAATCTTTGTTGCAGATGGTGTTTTCTGCCTTGGCTTTAGCCCAATGTGAAGTGATATGGTATTTTCAACATGTAGGAATTGCATCATCAAGATCTAAAACTACTCGAGTGGTACCGGTGGACATAGTAAGCATTTATTTAGTATTCTTTCATTGCCATCTTTTTTAATCAAACTGATGCCCTTTTTTTTAGCAAATTACATAATTAGGGCTTTGTAAAACTATTGAGAATTGGACCAAGTCTAAGTCAGTCAATCCCAAAAGCTAGCTTAAGGGGTGAGTATTGCCCCAGCCTTATGAGGACTATTTTGGCCATATTTTTTGCTGATGTAGTAGGACATATTAAATTATTAATACACCCCTCACATCCAAGACCAGGTGGCAGAAATCTAGAATGTGAAGTTTTCTGGGTTGGACATATGTGCCTGGCCCAACATCAAAAACTTGAATGATGAGAAGTGAACCTTTCTTGTTTTTTTATAAAGTGAACATCATTTTCTTGATAATTTTACAATGTTAGGGTACAATGTATAGCGTTAAAATGAATGCTATCCTAGTAATTTTAGACTACAAATCTAGACATGTTATAGGAAATATGGAAACAATGAAAACTAATTCAAAATACAGGAAGGAAACTAAATCTATACAAATAAGGAAAAGGTATTGAATTATGACACTCATTCTTGAGCAGGTGAGTGGATATTTATTTATCATTTCCCGAAGTGCTATGGGGGAAGTCTTTTGGTCAATACATTTGCCAACTAAAGGCTGAAGGAACATATGTAGTAACTATGAGACTAGTATCTAATTTTTCCTTGATGAGATGCTAGTCTATCACAATATATTTTGGGTAAACTTCTCCATAAACACTTTTAAGTGAAAAAAAAATAGGAAGGAAAATGGAAATAAGCTTCTTCATTAGCTAAAACTAACTTGTGCATAAATTAAAAAATAAGATGTTGGAAATAGTTAATAGGAGAAAGCTTCTATAAATTAGCTTATGCATAAGGTAATTTTAGCTTAAGAAGAAGTTTATTTCATTTTTCTTTCTAGTTTTAATTTCCTGGAAGTGCTTCTAGAGAAGTTTACCCAAATAGGCCTTGTGTTCTATCATGTTGAATTAGATTGTTTGCAATACTGATGGTAGACTTATTGTCATAGAAGAGTTTCGTAGAGGCTGCATACTTACTCTTGAGATCAAGTATAATTTTCATCCATAATAGTTCACAAACCCCTTGGGCCATAGCACAAAATTCTACCCTTGCACTAGACCTTACAACCATATTTTTGCTTCTTGCCCCTTCCATGTAACCAATTTACCACCCAAAAACAGTTTCTCGTGGTAGATATCCTATCAACAACAAACCATACATAGTCTGCATCCATGTATACTTCTATGGACAATTTTCCTTACTTTTTGGGTAATAATTCTTGTGTGGTCTGAAAGGGAGGAGAAAAGGGAAAGATTCAAATTTGATATGGAGACTGTATCAAATTGTCTTCTAGTAGTAATAGATGTGTTGGTAAATGGTTTTAAGAATGCCCTAATTTGTTAACTTAATTGATAAAGGGTTGTTGTTGGGTGAAAAGCTCTTATTGCAGGCTTTATAATTTTATTTTTTTGTATAGTTAGTTTGAATATATTGATAAGGTGGTTGACTTGAAATTTGATAATCATGTTTCCAGGATCCAAATGACCCAACAATTGGATTTCTGTTAGATGGAATGGATCATTTATGTTGCTTAGTACGCAAATACATTGCAGGTTAGATTAACTTTATGTATATTGATTTATCCCACAGATAGCGAACATGATACCTTTTAACAACTGAGTTTACTTTTATTTAAATTTAATGTAGGTTGCACTTGAGATTTGAATTTGTGGCAAAAATCACTGAGTATTCCATCAACTAGTATTTTATATATATATATATA